GGCCCTAAACTTTTGACCCTAGACTTCTGGCCCTAGACTTCTGGCCCTAGACTTCTGGCCCTAGACTTCTGGCCCTAGACTTCTGGCCCTAGACTTCTGGCCCTAGACTTCTGGCCCTAGACTTCTAGCCCTAGACTTCTAGCCCTAGACTTCTAGCCCTAGACTTCTGGCCCTAGACTTCTGGCCCTAGACTTCTAGCCCTAGACTTCTAGCCCTAGACTTCTAGCCCTAGACTTCTAGCCCCTAGACCCACCTGCCCCCCACTGCTGCACAATTCACCCAGTAATGAGCTCAGTCTCCTCTGCTCCAACTTTCCCACGAGCAACAAATGCTTGCAAGAGGCCGAGCATCCAGAGCAGGTTGCAAGCGGATCCAGTCCTCTTTTTAACCCACTTCTGATGATGCTGATGATCATATATTTTTTTTTTTAACGTTTATACCCGACAGGTGGTAATTAATGATACCTGGATGGAATATGACTCTGCGGTTCGTGCTGCTGTTGTTGTGAAGGTGATGGATGGCTCGACACACTAACTAAGACGCACTTTTATGTATTTAAGGAACTTTTTACCATTCTCCTTTGGCGTGGAGATATTAAGGGGGAAGGGAAAGGTATGGCTTAAGATGTCTTACAAGCCATATTAAAAGCCATGCGTTGACAAAAGTTTTTTTTTTATGTTCGAAGATGACGGGGCGTGTTTTGGAGAATTAATTCTTAATAAACACATTTTACAGGAAGTGGGAGGTTAATACACCTCACGGGGTCCCTCAAAGAGGTTTCCATGACAGTGGAGGAGAGGCTGTACGGAGTATCTTTGTTATTGGTTAACTTAACCTTTTCATCGTGGGACTGGATCTCTTCATTCAAGGCCACCAGGTTCCGGGAGATCAGATCAGAACAGGATCCACTCAGAACAGGATCCACTCAGAACAGGATCCACTCAGACACAGGATCTACTCAGACACAGCATCCACTCAGACACAGGATCCACTCAGACACAGGATCCACTCAGACACAGGACCCCACTTAGACACAGGACCCCACTCAGACACAGGACCCCATTCAGAACAGAACCCCACTCAGAACAGAACCCCACTCAGAACAGAACCCCACTCAGAACAGAACCCCACTCAGACACACGACTCACTCAGACACAGGACTCCCAATCACCACACGACCCCTGTCAGCTCAGAAGCCTAATCAGCGCGGGATGTCCACCACCCCTTACAATCTGTGTTAAGATGAACACAGACGTTGCCATGACAACCAAGATGACGCATCAGTTTTCCCCTAAGGAAATGACCCCCCCCACCCCCACCCCCCTCCCCCTACCCCAAGGCATGCATTTGGTTTGTTTGTACTTGTTTGGCAAGCAGGAGTCAAGGGGGAAGTACATTACACACAGAAAGTACAGTACAAGGGGGAAGTACATTACACACAGAAAGTACAGTACAAGGGGGAAGTACATTACACACAGAAAGTACAGTACAAGGGGGAAGTACATTACACACAGAAAGTACAGTACAAGGGGGAAGTACATTTCCTCGTATGTTGGTATACAATGATATTGTGAGAATTGACACATTATCTATCCTCTCCATATCTACTTTATCTCTATTTCTCTACCCCTGCTCATCAGACCTACGAGCCTAACCTCCCATCCCTCTCTAAACATCGTAAGTCAAACCCAGCACTAAAATCACTACAATACATATACAATACAATACAATCACTTACAATCTACAATAATTATGACAAATAAAGCAAAATAAATAAATCAATAAAATCACTAAAAAAAGGAATTACGACATGTTTGAGACACGATAGTGAGCCTAAGAGGAGCTACGACGTCAACCCGTCCTCCTGACAGAGCGTCGCATTTTGACGTATATGCCCAAACTACGGCCAAACATCGTCGTACTAGAATATGGGTAGCGGCTCGCGAAATTGAACATACGGTCCGGTTTTCTGTTTTGGGGCCTCTGGTAAAGTTAGGATAAGGGGGGGGGGACACTTAAGTAGGATAGTTTCTTGACATTGAGAAACCTTAGGAGGACGGACTGATGACGTACTTACAAGTCCCTGACACAACCAGTTTAGCTAATAGGATATGAAAGTTAATGGCGGTAGTTAGAATGGTTAATAAACATCAACCATTAATAACACAATAATGGCTAATAACACCTCATTTCTTTGCTTCTCTCTCATTGAAGGGTAAGACGCGCCCTGAATACTTTACAACGACACTTAAATAAGTAAATATACTTTACTTAATAAGTAAACAAAGAGCTGAAACAACGGGCACTCAAACAACCATATGGTTAGGTTTTATATGGTGAATAAATTGTGTTATGATACTTGTAAATGGGGGTGTAAATAGTGCTAGAATATTTAAAATACACACTAACATATACACGAGCAAACACACACACACATACACACGCACCCCCCCCACACACACACACACTGTTACCTAGCAGTAAATAAGTACCTGGGAGATAGACAGCTGTTACGGGCTGCTTCCTGTGTGTGTGTGTGTGTGTGTGTGTGTGTGTGTGTGTGTGTGTGTGTGTGTGTGTGTGTGTGTGTGAGAAAAAATGAAATAAAAAATCCGTTGATTGACAGTTGAGAGGCGGGCCGAAAGAGCTACAGCTCAACCCCCACAAGCACAAATAGGTGAGTACACACACACACACACCATAAGAGAGAATGTTAAAGGCCAAACGCTTAAGGCTAGTCTCACACAAATTTGCAGGGAGAATGACCTTGGGTACAGGACGCAAATAGGCTGATCGGTTTAGACCTAAGTCAGATGCTTGTAAGAAATATCAACACTCATAAAGCCTCCCGGGCAATTTTCATGGCGTGAAATACGTCATATGATTTCCGTGGAGTTACTGTTGAAAAGAAGATTATAGAACAATTTGGTCGTTTCCATGCTTAAGGATGCTATGTTATTCTCAAACTTTTCACCCACTCTGTGCTATGATTTCTATGTTCTCGTTCCTCGTTCTTCGATATATACGTTATAATTATCTTTTTTTTTTTGAGATATATTCAAGAGTTGTGACATTCTTGTAGAGCCACTAGTACGCGTAGCGTTTCGGGTAGGTCCCTGGAATACGATCCCCGCCGCGAAGAATCGTTTTTTCATCCAAGTACACATTTTACTGTTGCGTTAAACAGACGCTACAGTTAAGGATTTGCGCCCAGTAAATCCTCCCCGGCCAGGATACGAACCCATGACATAGCGCTCGCGGAACGCCAGGCGAGTGTCTTACCACTACACCACGGAGACTGTTCTCTTCCGTTTTCTGCTCTCTCTTTCTCTTTCTTAGGTGTTTCTTTGCTACTTAGCGTCCAGACACTGCCTGTCTAGCCACGAGTTAATTATCTCCTTGGCGCCTTCATTCTCTAGTTGCGACATTAACATTCCATCAACTTCCTTAAAATCTGCTCGGTATTTAACTCATGTCTTGTGTTGTAAGTCTGGTATTTCCTTGTGGACTAAACAAGACTTTCACTCTTCTTTCTCTAACCTTCAACGATACTGCACATTCAACGAGGTTAATAGCTAAATTAACCACAGAAAATACATGTGGTTAATATTAAAATACAATAATCATCTCTCTGATTAATTTCTGCAACAGCATGCCACTGCATACACTGGCTCAGTTATATATAATAAGTAGATTATTATTATAAAATTATTATTATAAAATGTATTCACTTTTAACATTCAATCTCACGACTAATATATACTTCCTGGTGGTTTGGGTTAGAAGCATGAGACCCGCTTGATATTTTAACAACTGTAACCTTATATACCTTTGTAGCTGATGATTTTGTGGCACCTTAGAACCGTCGGTCTTTTCTACCTCTTGCGCAGGTCTCGTTGCAACATGCAGAATGGACAAAAATTCCCTCCGTCTTGGTATTGAATATAACTATTCCAGCAAAATAGACAGATGCTGGTGTAATTCCTTTTGGCAGGTAAAAAAAAAAAGAGTTTGATTCACACAGCTGTCCATGAATTCAGGCTGGCGAGGGAGGCTTGTTAGTCTGGGCTAACGATCGCTTGCTACTTCTAGATCTATTAAGAACAAAACATTCCCCACTTCAGTCACTATGATATTCTAAGAATCGTCTTGGGGGTTCTAGTTGACACCATGTCAAATGACACTCGTTTCACTTAAGCCAACCTCGAACCGACCATGATGGTCACGTACCTCATAGGAATCAGGGTACAAAATTGAGTGAAGCTAGCCCTAAGCATCTGGTATCCGTTCCCGACATATCAGACATTCTATGATAACTCGATGTTTGGTGAGAACATTAAATTGGCCATAAGAAAATCTTCCTCTTTGCTTAAACAACCAAGATTTCTATGATTTTAGGCCCGTTTCAGGTTTAATAAACTGTTGCTGTTGGTCTCACGAGTTTCACCTAACACGGTCTAGAAATATTATCAATACATCAAAATTGATGTACTCAATGTTTTTCCCTCAAACCAACAGGTGTGTGTGTGTGTGTGTGTGTGTGTGTGTGTGTGTGTGTGTGTGTGTGTGTGTGTGTGTGTGTGTGTGTGTGTGTGCAACCTCACGGGCTCACCATAGTCCGTGAGGTTGTTCCTACTTGGAACATTTCAAAATTGAAATGGAACAAGTAGAAATTGAAATGGAATTGAAATGAAACTACTTGGAACAAAATGTTCCTACTTGGAACATTTTGTTCCAAGTAGCGAATCTTAAACAACAACAACAAGTGTGTGTGTGTGTGTGTGTGTGTGTGTGTGTGTGTGTGTGTGTGTGTGTGTGTGTGTGTGTGTGTGTGTGTGAGTGTGTATAAGGACTTGGTCTACACAACACTAACAATCTAAGTGGCAAATAAATATCACTTAACTACCTTTATAAAATCTAGTTTACCTTTGCTTTCCACTGTGAAAGTTACTCACAAAAAAGGGGCGAACACAAAATAAGCGGAGCACCCGATGACCAGGATGTGGCATGACAATGTTATACCATCTGGACCAGCTGCGACCTGCATCATCCACCAGTCATCACAGCCCTCCGGCAGTCATCACAGCCCTCCGGCAGTCATCACAGCCCTCCAGGAGTCATCACAGCCCTCCGGCAGTCATCACAGCCCTCCGGCAGTCATCACAGCCCTCCAGGAGTCATCACAGCCCTCCGGCAGTCATCACAGCCCCCCGGCAGTCATCACAGCCCTCCGGCAGTCATCACAGCCCTCCGGCAGTCATCACAGCTCTCCACCAGTCATCACAGCCCTCCGGCAGTCATCACAGCCCTCCGGCAGTCATCACAGCCCTCCGGCAGTCATCACAGCCCTCCGGCAGTCATCACAACCCTCCACCAGTCATCACAGCCCTCCGGCAGTCATCACAGCCCTCCGGCAGTCATCACAGCCCTCCGGCAGTCATCACAGCCCTCCGGCAGTCATCACAGCCCTCCGGCAGTCATCACAACCCTCCACCAGTCATCACAACCCTTAACCAGTCATCACAACCCTCCAGGAGTCATCACAGCCCTCCAGGAGTCATCACAACCCTTAACCAGTCATCACAACCCTCCAGGAGTCATCACAGCCCTCCAGGAGTCATCACAACCCTCCGGCAGTCACCACAACCCTCCACCAGTCACCACAACCCTCCACCAGTCATCACAACCCTCCACCATCAACAAGCCCTCGCTCTACAAGTCATTTTTTCTCCATAAGCTTCATAAATTATTGAATTAATTCTTTCATCGGGGGAGATTTTTGTATATAATTTCTCTGCTTCTGTTTCATGCAGTGAAAAATAACTGAAAATAAAAGAAAACTCCAAAAATCCGAAGTAATCGTTCCGTCCGGATTAATATACGTCCAAGAGCCTCGGAGATTTTATTTTTTTATTTTTTTTTGTTATTGATTGATGTTGGCTTTGAAGCCCAATGAGTGTCAGCAGGTGTTAATTAGAGTGGAACCAGGTAGTCAGGTGAGGCCAGGTTGAGCAGGTGAAGTCGAGCCACCACATAGGACCTCATAGGACCACATTGAGGTCACACTAATATGTAGTCTATTCTGACATGAAACCTTTTATTTTAAGTTTGTTTTCAGCTACGGACATACTGGACATATTGATAGTCTTCCAGACAAAAACAAAGTATGAACCAGGCAAGCAGCGGCGCTCTCTATAATGTTGCTTTCGTTCATCTGTTTTTAGTAGCTGTTGCACCTGTTTTGCGGCAAGGGGGCGACTTCGCAAGAGCAGTGACTTCGCGGGAAGGGGTGACTTCGCAAGAGCAGTGACTTCGCGGGAAGGGGGTGACATCGCAAGAGCAGTGACTTCGCGGGAAGGGGTGACTTCGCAAGAGCAGTGACTTCGCGGGAAGGGGGTGACATCGCAAGAGCAGTGACTTCGCGGGAAGGGGTGACTTCGCAAGAGCAGTGACTTCGCGGGAAGGGGTGACTTCGCAAGAGCAGTGACTTCGCGGGAAGGGGTGACATCGCAAGAGCAGTGACTTCGCGGGAAGGGGTGACAATCGCAAGAGCAGTGACTTCGCGGGAAGGGGTGACTTCGCAAGAGCAGTGACTTCGCGGGAAGGGGTGACATCGCAAGAGCAGTGACTTCGCGGGAAGGGGTGACAATCGCAAGAGCAGTGACTTCGCTGGGAGGAATAAACTCGCCGGAGGAGTGTTTTCACGGCAGGAGTGAATTGGCGGGAAATGGGACTTCGAAGCAATGACTTTACGGCCGGCATGACTTCGCTGGCGAAGTGAACACCGCTCCTCACACACCTCCATCAGCAACCGGACCATCAATTAAGACGCGTTCGTTTCATCTCAGCCAGCATTTACCACTAACACCTTACCCTTTCTTATGTTATTATCAAACAATAGATACCCTCCACGCCGTGACCCAGTAATTACCACACCTCACCTCGCAAGAACTCTACTTGGTTTCAATAAACCCAAATTATCCCGAGTTGTGAGGCGGACTAATCATCTACATTACACCATGTATCACCTGTCCAGCGCACGTCTTTTTCCTCTCTAGTCTTCCGCCACACCTGTATCTGATTGCTTGTTGATTGACTGATGGAGATTAAGCCACCCAAGAGGTGGCACGGGCATGAATAGCCCGTAATGATGGCCTGTTGTCTAGAGATACCGTCCATTATAGCTTGGGTTTTGCCCCGTTCCTAGTATTGACTATTTCAATAGCGTCGTATTATCTTAATGGCCACGGGAGACATCTCACCTCCACAGATCTCCAGTATCATCTATTGATACTGGTAATGGCTCAAAAGAGCCACCACTTACGGGCTATTCATGCCCATGCCACCTTTTGGGGTGGCTTAATCTTCATCAATCAATCATCTTAATGACATTGCAACTCTGGCAAGATGCACTTGTTTTATAAATGCTCCGGAAGGTGATGTAGCCAGGGGGAAATGGATGCTGGAACTTGAGATGAAGATATGAGAGGAATTCTGCATTTTGGAGATTGAGGAAGGGAAGGGATGCTGGGGGTAGTGTGATGTTTCTAGTGAGAGGATGTTCTAGTTAGTGACGTAGCTGATGTAACTGTAGAAGGGATGCTGTACCTGGTGATTTAGCACTGAAAGTCATGCCAGAGATTCCATACCACAGTTTGGGATGCATCTGAATATATTGATATTTTCAGTAATATCGTGCAAGATTATACTTATAATACCAGAATTGTGTGTGTGTGTTGGGGGGTGGGGGGGGGGGGGGACGGTACACACCTAATTGTAGTTACTTAACTGTGCTTACAGGGTCGGGCATTTGCCCTTAAGCCCCGTCTTTCGACCATCATTAGCTCATTCAAAGCAGTGTAAGTCTTTTCATTTATTTTTAAAGTTATATTTTCGTTTTAAACTATGGATAGAATTAACTGGTTTCGATATCTTCCTCATCTCGCCAGTTCCACTTATTTAACGAATGTTAGACTGAAAAAGTTAGTTCTGACACCACTCTAAACTGCCTTACCAGTCTATGTCTTCTAGTTCTGCTGTTCTTTAACTTTAAACATTGGTTTTTAAATTTACTTTGTCAATCCCAATATTTACTTTATACAATATTTAATTTTTCAATATTTATTTTATACAAAATTTACTGTCAGTATTTACTTTATAATTCATTTAGATTCTTATAGTTTCCATCTGCGTCCACTCGTTCGTATACCACTCCTTCGAAGTCACCTTTTCTTGTTTGCACCAGTTAATTCACTCGAGAATTTTTAATATAGCAATCATGTCACCCTTAAATCTGGCATCTTGCAGTAACGAGAGATTGATTTCCTTTCATCTTACATATAAACTCACAATTCTCGACTATGCTGGACTTCTGGATTATGTCTGGACTATGTCCAGACACAGCTGGACTTTCTCCATCATGCATTTGTGTTTAACAGTTTATGCTCGATCATTAATCATTTATACAAAGGTGTTTATATATTCTCTGGCATTCTGACATTTATCCTGACATTCATGGAAGATGCAGTCTCCTCAGTCCTCATTTTCCTGTTGTCATGCCATACAACTCGAGCAAGCTGGTCAAGATGGATGGCTTCTACGTAAATCTGTGCCGAAGTTTAGAGACCAAAATATACTGTTTTAGATATTCATCGAGCAATGTTAAATCATATCTGGTTGAAGTCCTGTAGCTCTTGCATCTCTTTATGTTATATGTAAATGCTGTATTCTGATTAGTTCTCTCCACTTTCAGGTCAAGAGTTGGAAGCTATAGCAAGGGTGCAGGCGATGAGTCACAATAACGTGGCTGAAGTATGATGACCAGATCACACACTAGAAGGTGAAGGGACGACGACGTTTCGGTCCGTCCTGGACCATTCTCAAGTCGATTCTACGACTTGAGAATGGTCCAGGACGGACCGAAACGTCGTCGTCCCTTCAACTTCTAGTGTGTAGTCTGGTCAATATAGCAAGGGTTCTTCAAGATGCTTGCATCTGCTTCTTCTAGCAAATATAATGTGATCTTGTCAGGATTTATGTGGTGTTCATCACACCTACTTCCTCTAGTTTTGTTCTAATATCTTCTGATACGTCTTCGGTTGTCTTGTAGTCTCTGTTCATATGTAGTTGCAGAACTAGTTGAAGATAGCAAATGTTTCTTGAAAACGTTGACTGAGTACTTTTCCTTACTTCTTTATATAGTCTGACGACTTGAAAGTTCACCTAGATGTTTCTCGTAATGTTGCGAAGAATCAGCTTAGGCTGGTCCTTGGCTTTGGGTGCTATGTTATGCTTAACATCGAATCTCCTGTACTCGCCAAAGTCCAGTGTATTCGTTACTCTTTTTTTTTATATGGTGGACATTTTTTCTATATTCCCTGTCGTTCATATATGTTCTTCAAGCACTGCCTCTCAAACCATGGGCTAATGGTAATTTTTGATCATTTATCTGTTGAGAGCGGAAGGAATATATCTGCTATCAGCTTTGTAATTGTTCAATATATTGTTCATTATTTCATGTGCTCTTTCTTTTCCTTCAACATTATTACCAATGGAATATTCTCTCAACATTAACTGACCTTATGGTGATCTAGTTCACTGGATGCTAGTTTTTCATTCTCTTTCTCCTCCTGTTTTTTTTATTTTATCAGTTATCATCACAACTCCATAATCAAAGACTGATATGCAGTGGTTGTTGACCAGACCACACACTAGAAAGTGAAGGGACGATGACGTTTCGGTTCGTCCTGGACCATTCCCAAGTCGATTGTGGTCCTCAACTTGAGAATGGTCCAGTACGGATTGAAACGTCGTCGTCCCTTCACTTTCTAGTGTGTGTGGTTTGGTCAATATATATTTCAGCCACGTTATTGTGACTCCTCGTCTGCATACAATGGTTATTCACCCCATGTTGGTCTTACATGCTTAATGCTCTTATCTTCATCTCTTTATTTGTGAATACAAAGTCTGGTCTAGCTGGTAGGATTCTTCTCCTCTCCTGAACTGTTTTGTTTGAAAATTCTTTTCAAATACTTCTACAAGCTTCCCTCTCCATGTCTTTTCTCAGGATATCCAATCTATTGTTTCCCACTAAATTTCCTAGTGAAAAAGATCAGGATAGCTCTTAACTTAATCAGATCAGTGTACAAGTGTTGGAACTGTGGTGAATACTCTAGGGATCATAACTGGAAGCATCACCAATGCTTTATATCCGATATTTTTCTTCAGCATTATTTATCACTGACAGTCTTGCCTTAGATTTTGAAGCTCAGGTTTGGTCATTGTAGTATTGACTGGACATAAAGTTACTTGAGCGTGTGCTGAGAAGGTTACCATTTGTTAATTCTAAATCGTCTTTTTTGTTTTGAGAGAGAGAGAGAGAAATTAAGTTAGCTTTATGTTGGCCACACATCAAAAAGTTTCGGACCGAAACTTCCGAAAGGTGTGATAGGTCCTAAACGACGTTTCGGTCCGTCCAGGACCTATTATCAAGTCGTGTAACCAGTCATGATAC